CCTGGATTGCAAGTGGCGTGTTCAGTGACTGCACATCCACAAACATGACCTTTCACTTTGTAGGCGCAAAGTGCATACCGAAGGACGGGATGACTTTGGTCAGTTCATCCAGGAATACTTGCGCCTTCTCTTCCTCTTCGAATATGAGAACGCTGCCGTCTCATTCGAAAGGGGTGCTGAAGAAGGGAAGGCATAGTGTATAGAAGATATACCACTATTATTACAGGTTTCGAAAGGACATCAACGCAGTTGGGAAACCGAAGATGTCGTTTTGACTGCAATTGCTAGAAAGGCCAAAAATGGCCAATGACAGAATCACGAAGCCATATGAGATTGCATCCGATTCTTGAATACAACTCCGATTGCGTTCCTAGCCATGGTGAAAATTCGTACCGCTCAAGGCAGGTGTTAACAAAATACCGGGGCCGGTGACTGCAATGTTCACTTTAATTTGAATCGCGTGGCACTCGTACCTAGGATCTGAATTGAGCTCCCTGCTTGACACAGAACATGGTGCGGTGCCCATAATGGAAAGCGTTTAAGATAGCCTCGAACCAGTACCTTTCGACCTTGCAAATATTGTGGTGTCGCCAGCCATCTCCTTAACCTCTTGGATAGTAGCGGGACGCTCTGTTTGATCATGATGGATTGAATGCTGAGGGTTGCCTGCAAAGTTAGTCAAAACGGATTAAAGTGAAAAGGTTAAAGCCGTCAGACGTCACTGACGGGATAGTGGTTGTGTCGCATGTGGTTGTGACTGTAGCGACAATATTGTCAGGATGTGCTACCCCGTGAGCGTACTGCAGCCGTCTTGTTACAAATCGTATTGAGGTGTTGCTCCAAAGACTTGATGATCTTGAACCCAATCCAGGCCTAGGAAGTTAAGACTTACGTAGCAAAGTGGCGAGCACTATTGAACTTGGCCCCACTGAACTTCACAGAACGGTTCAGCTTCTCCGTCAGTTTCAGGCTTCCTCCAGAAGCCCTAAGAATGGTTACTTTGTGCGTGCAATTGGAGGTCTCCCAATCACCTTACAGACTCCTTTTTAAATCAGAGAAATCAGAACCTACATCAGTTTGGAGTGAAACCGGTATATTAATGATGCACACCAGTGAATTTTTGTTGACCGGGTAACTTCATCCTGAATGTTAAAGCTACGGCTCCTGAGTAGGTTCTTCTTTTGTCAGCCCACTGTTTGCATGAGCCCTTGTTGTTTTTACACCTGTGTTTCCGATGGGGACCTGTCACGCGACATGCGCTGTTCGTCATAAAACCGATAGGATGATGGAAGTTTTCCCTGGATTCGCTCGGAATTTGATAGGCTTTGGAAGCCACTTTGCATATCATGTCAGGCTGTGGGGATTGAAAATCTTTTAACATTGCAACATCAGCCTTGAGGCTCACATGACACTAGTATTTGGTGGTAAGGTTCCGTAGTGTCAACTCCGGTGTCAATCCGATCCAGTAGCCGATTCTCAATAGCTGTATCTTACGGAGAACAATCATGAAGATGAAACACTTGAATTGATCTTCGGTCATTGTGCAGGGCCTGAAACACCCACATTCTTTGTTCACCACACTGATATGTGTTTAATCTTCAGTATCCCTATTTGTGTTCCTGAGAGGTTAACGCATACTGAATACACTGAATACGGAGCTCTGTTCATCGGATACTTGGGTCGGGATCTTGATTATAGCTGCGAATCCAGGGCCACGAGATAGTTTAGAGCTGCGCCCAGTTTCCGCATCAAAAGTTGCACCTTCCATTTGTCATCAAGTTGGGCGAAGTCGGTTTGAAACGATCCCTGATATTTCTTGAAGCAAGTTTCCAAAGTTCGTCCAGACTCAGTGTCAAAATTGAATTCAGTAGTTGCACTGGTGTCAGCACCTATAGAAGAAGGCCGCGGCCCAGTCGTTTCTGTCGTATTCACCAACACGTCAGAGTTTTAGTAAGCCTCATTTGGGCCTTTCCAAACTGCTTCTGTTGCTGTTTTAATGCTGTTTGCAGCTGATTTTGTAATTGGTAAATCCTACGTTATTCAGGTTATCTGTAAGCGAACGTCCCGTAAGCATTTCGACTTTTAAGGGAAGAGAAATTTCAAGCAGCATATCAATGACAAAGTTGAAGGTAGACGGTGAGAGAGGGCAGCCTTGTTTTACACCACTGGATGCGGCGAACTCAGGCAAAAGCTTCTCGTATACTCGTACGCGTCCATACAGTACTCCCCTTTATAAATTTGGAAGGGACATCTTAGATCGCCAGACACCACCACGATCGACAGAATCAAAATAAGCTTTTAAATAAAGACAAACGGCAACATGAGACGTCTGAAGGAGTGCTCCTGTTCGAGAATTAGTTTTAAGGTAAAGATATGGTCGATGTACCAGCGAACATGGCGAAAGCCAACTTGATTCTCGCAAATATGTCTCTCCCGACAATCCATCATTCTGCAGTAAATAACGCCAGAGAGCACTTTAGATGCAATGGATACGATGCTGATGCCACGATGGCTTTCCCATGACGTTCTTGCGCACTCTTTGAAAGTTGACAGTTGAGGATCTCCAGTCGGATGGTATTCTGTTTTCGTTTAAAATCTGCAGTATGATCACCAGACTGTTCAACAGGACCTCGCCATCTTCTTTGAAAAGCGCGGGTTACAGAACATTCGGTCCTTATCGTTCGTTCAGCTATCATCATCATCATCANGTTGGTGTCGGCGAGTCCGTAGTGAGGCAGTTAGAAAGGGCGGTTTCGGTTATGTAACGGGTACTTCCATTGAAGAATGTGTCCAGCACCTGGGGCTGCGTTGGTTGGGACATGTGTTACGTATGCCGAACCATCATTTGCCGAAGAGAGTGCTGTTTTCCATGCCCAACTCAGAGTGGCGTAAACAGAGAGGTGGCCAATCCTTGACTTGGCAGAGGAGTATGAAGGAGATCACGAAACGCTTGGGTGCTGTCGGTGCT